ATTTTAAAACTAAGGGGAACGGATGCTTTATCTTTATGTCGGTGATACTCATTAGCTAAACAATTCCAGATGTAATATTGGGAGGGAGGGGAGAATAGTTTTCAAGGACTTGTCTGCTTCTAAATGTCTGTGTCCATGGATCTGTTCCTGGCAGTGTTCGATGACCCCTCTCACTACTACTAGAGACCCCAAACTGAGTCACTTCTCAAACAGCTCACACTTTCCAAATGCAGCCTTTGTTCGTGCTGTTTCCTCAGCCTGAAACACTGTTCCCATTATTCCGCTTGTCAAAATCTTAGTCTTTAAGCCCTAATTTAAATTATCCCTTTTCCATGAAAGTCTCTTCTAAACCGCCAACTGGAAGCAGTGACTTTTTGCTCTGTGGCCCCCTTGTCTCTCTCTTGAAACATATTCTTGTTCTTTTTTGCATTATGGCCACTTATGTGGCAGCTCATACTCCCTACCAAGGGAAAGCTTTGTTTACCTCTGTTGCATGGGATGAAATCCAAATTCCTCAGAATAATGCACAAGGTTCTCATGACTTGGTGCCCATTTCCTTTTGGGTCTTATGTCTTGACATTTCCCTCAGTGACCCTCATACCAGAGCTGTAATATAAATCAACTATGAGGGGCGCCTGGGCCCTCTGATTCAGGTTCCTGACTTCCAAGGCCCACGACGGAGCAAAGTGCTCACCAAGATTCTTACGAATTTCTGGGGCCTCGCTTTCGTCCAATTTGCAATCTGATTCTTCCAGCCTGCACACCAGCTGCTTTCCTCTGTGCTTCACCTGATTAACTTTTGCTCCTTCTTACTCTTTAGGAAAATAAAAAACCAAAACCTTTCCTGCAAAGCATTCATGAGTGTAGCTAACTTTTGAAGGAAAGGAAGGAAGCTTTAAATTTTCATGATGTTACAACTTTCCTGAAAAGTAAGCATCCACCTGCCTTTGCCCCACGGAGACACAATTACTCCACCTTGTTGGTTCTTCATTCCTCTTTATTTTTTCTTGTCTTCGGACTCTCCTCTTTCCATCCCTCCCAGAAGTAAAAGCAAGGCACCAGCCAATCCCCAGGACTTCTATCCCAAGCACTTAACAGGGTATTAAAACAAAACCAAAATAAAGCCCCACAGTTGTCTCCTTAAGAGAAGTTCTTGGATCAGCTCTTCAGATGTTTTTTAAAAATTTGTTATTGCCCTGGCTGGCATGGTTCAATGGTTAGAGCATTGGCCCATGCACCAAAGGGTCATGGGCTTGATTCCTGGTCAAGGGCATGTACCTTGGTTGCAGGTTTGATCCCCTGTCTTGGTTAGGGTGCAAGTGGGAGTCAACCAATCAATGTGTCTCTCTCACTTCGATCTCTCTCTCTCTCTCTTTCTCTCTCTCTCTCTCTCCCTCTCCCTCTCTCTCTCTCCTCCCTTGCCCCATCCACTCTCTCTAAAAAATCAATAGAAAAAATATCCTCAGATGAGAATTGACAACAACAAAAAATTTATTATAAATCTATTCATGCCATGCTGTATAGTTCTCTATACATGCCATATTGTTTTAAATCTTAATGCTTTTGCAATTCTGTTCCTTCTTCCTAGAATTTCTTCCCCTCTATAGTTTTCTTGGCAACTTATGATTCTCCTTTATGGAGTCTTCTCTAATCCACAGTGGCTGGCCTCATCATCCCTCTGTGGTACCACCACTGTGCACAGTATTTACCTTTTACTGGGTTGTAATAATCTGTTGTATATGCCTGTTTTCCATGCCAGACTGTGGACTCCTTGAGAGCAAATACTGTACCTCATTGACTTTTATACTCCCAGTTTCTACCCCAGAGCCTGATCAGTATAATAAATACATGCTAAATATATATATATCTATCAAATGGATATGAATTAAGAATGAATGCATTTTGCCCAGACCTGAGATTTAAGACTTTGTAAAAGTATAAAGAAAGTCTGTAAAATGTTGAAACCATCACTTTTTTCAGAGAACACCTCCTAGTTTGGAGCTTTTATGAGCCTCATGGTGCCAAGTAGAACATTTTACCTCACTGGTTCTGATTTCTTTAGGTCATTAATCTGAAAAGCTTCTGAGCCAGAAAGCTATGGTTAAAATGAACCCTGCACACACCCAACAGAGGACTGAATCCACAAGCTGGTATGTGCCCAGGTTGGGACTCAAACCTGCATCCCATTGGTGCACAGGACTATACGCTCCAACCAACCGAACCACACTGGCCGGGGCTAGGTCTGGCTTCTTTTACTGAGCATAAGGTTTTAAATGTGCCTCTATAGTAGTATGCATCAATACTTTTTCTTATTGCCAAATATTCCATCGTATGACTATAACACATTTATCTTTCATCATTTGAAACATTTGGCAACTTTTACTTTTTTTCTAAATGAATAATGCTGCTAGGAATATTTGTGTACAAGTTTTTGTGTTGACATACATTTTTATTTCTCTTGGTTATATAGCTAGAAGTGAAATTGCTAAGGCATATGGTAACTATGTTTAACATTTTAAAGAACTGCTAGACTATTTTTTAAAGTGATTGGAGCATTCCACATTCTCATCAACATTAATGAGTTTTAATTTCTTCTCATCCTCACCAAGACATTTTATTATCTGTCTTGTTAAGAATAGCCATCCTAGTACGTATGCAGTGGCATTTCATTGTGGTTTTGATTTGCGTTTACCTTATGGCTAATGATGTTAAGTAATAAAATTTTGAGGTCACACATTTTAATGAGCAATTATAGTGATAAAACAAGGAATTCTATTTTAATATTAGCAAATATTAATTTTTAGTGATTTTCAATAAAATGGTAAAGAGAATGTAGACTGTTAAATGTCACAGTTAGCAAGTGTACTTAATTTCCAGTTCACCTTAAAAAATTCTAACTTGGCTACATAATAAATATAATAAAACATATTTAGCTACTATCAAGTACAGGGCAAAGAGACAAACTTTGCATCTCTTACTTAATATTTTTGTTCAAACAATATGGTTTCTGTTGGGGGAATACCTAAATCCAGTTCTTCTAACATCAATAAAATAGCATCCACATCTGGAACCCAGACCACATGTGAATGGATCCACAGGGTTTGGTCATTCTCTGTTTTGAAAGAAGGAGGCAGAAAACATAATGTGTTCTTAACAAAAGAATCCACATTTGTAATAAAATAATTAAAAGAATAAACAAAGTGATTTTATTTTGGGGTGGTGTACAAAAATGTTAACTGAAGTTAGATATTACAATTTAAACAGTGGCTTTGTTTAATAAGAATGCCAAGCACTTTCTCCCTTCATCTGGATTTTTTTATGTGCATCATTAAAAAAAAACATAATATTTTCAAAATCATTTTAAATTATGGTCCTAATGTTGTGTTTAAGATCAGTAAAATGTAAATCAATCCTGCAAATAAAAATTTAAAAGGAGAAATTCATACACTATTTTTGTTATTTTCCCTGCCAGCCAGTTCTGGGACGATAGAACGAGAAGGAATTCTCCTTGTCCACCTGGTCTAGGGAACATAGCTTATGGAATTATAAAAGTCATGTGATCCTGATTGCAACCCGAAGGATGGCATCGATAAGGCACATTAATCAGTTCATTATCTGAGAGTTTTGCCAGTTTATGGGGGAAGTACTGAGAAGTGGGACCGCAAAACCACTCATAAAAAACTTAAGGGCTGTCTTCAGAGAACTGCAAATAAAAACCACAATGAAATATCACATCACACCAGTCAGAATGGCTATCATCTGAAAGTCAGTAAATAACATATTGTTGAGGATGTGGAGAAAAGGGAACCTTCATGCATTGTTAATGGAATGCAAATTGGCGCAGACACTATGGAAAAGAGTATGGCGCTGCCTCAAACACTAAAAATAAAACTCCCATATGACCCAGCAATTCCACTTCTGGGTATTTATCTGAAGAAAATGGAAACTAATTTGAGAACATATACACACTCCTATGTTCATTGCACCGGAGCCAAGAATTGGAAACAACCTAAGTGTTTATACACACACACACACACACACACACAACACACACACACACACACACACACGGAATTTACACAGCAATAAAAAAATAAAATCTTGCCATATGCAAGAACATAATGGACCAAGTAGGTATTATGCTAAGTGAAATAAGTCAGACAGAGAAAGACAAATACCACTTAAACATGGAATTTTAAACAAACATAAAATGAACAAACAAAACAAAAACAGAATCATAGAAACTGTGATTAAACTGTGATTAAAACTGATGGTTGCCAAAGTGGTGTGGGTGTGGGGATGGGTGAAAAAGGTAAAGGGGAATATATATAGTCAATAACATTGTGGTAAGTTTGCACAGTAGTAGATGATTACGACTTAGTGTAGTGATCACATTGTAAGGTATATGAATTTTGAATCACTATATTTAGACAAGAAACTAATATTATATATAAACTATAATTAAATTTAAGCTGAAAAGGGCAATCTGTTTTTTTTTAATAAGAAGAAAGAAAGCTTTTGAACTGAAAAAGAAGTGGACTATTGATGAATGATTTTATCTGTCCACAGGCCTTTATATAAAGATCTGTTCCCTCTTTTCAAGCAATTAAACATAATAAAATCAGCTAAAGATTTTTAGGTGAGACAATAAGAATTTATTGAAAAACAGATTCATTAGCCACATTAATGAAGGTGTAAGTTTAGGGGTCTTTGAGATTTGTTTGTATTGATTTAGATAACATTTACTTGGAAGCAGGTAACAAGATAAGGAGTTTTCTGGTCCTGGGGCACTGTGATACTTTTTGCAAAAACATTAGACAGAGACAACCTGAAATTTTTATTTAATATTGTTGCCTAACCAAAGTTACTTTATGATTTGCTAAGTGTAAAGAAATATAAGACAGAAGCTAAATCTTTCTGTATGAATGGCTCTCTTATTGGAAATATATCTTCTATCTAAACTATAACCACAAAATAATCTTTACATTAAACATTTTTAGGGTTTGTCGACACTTTCCAGACATAAAAAATTAAAGGAACTTTCTCTGTCTGAGTGTTATGAATTCACCAATTATGGAATTCAGGTAAGATAATTAAGTCATTTTGATAAAGAATTAAGATGGAAAATTAAGCACAAATTAAATGAACTTTGTAGGTCACAGTGGGAAAAAATGGTTTAGAAATATAACTACATGTATGTGATCTTGGTTGAGACAAAATCAATTCCTGGGATCAATAGGTATAGGGCGACATTTTACTTGGAGAATGATGAAATGCAATATGGTAAAAGTGTAAGCCTATAAAGGTGTCCTGCATATAGAAATGTTATATAGTCTCACCATGAAAATTGGGAGAGCTTGAAAAGTTATACCAGGTACTTAACAATTAGGAACTTAAGTTTCTCAAACACAGCGGGTAGCATATTTTACCCAGAATGGAAAGCATGAGGTAAGTAACTGGATATTATAAACAATTACGTGTTCAATTAGTACTTTAAAAACTCATGAGAAAGGTAAATTTCCTAGACCTAGCCTTGAGGCATACCTAGGAAGTCACAAAGTAGCTACTATGAGCAAGGTACAACAACATTAAGCATATCAATGCACTGTTACAGTAGAAAAACCAGAATCACATGTCATACATGTGATTGAACTAGGATAAAATCTAGTTGCCTATTAGTAAATCGTGGAAGGTAACATTTTAAAAGGGAACTAATAAACTAGGAATGGGTAAATGTTAAACACTGGAAGCTCCATATAAAGTTTCCTGTGAGTTCAAAATCCCTGAGACTAAATCCTGGAGCTAAACTAGAGGAAAAAAATTTAAAGAAAGAAACTTACTGAAGTAAAAGGATTTATCCCACAAGTGAAAGATAACACAAGTGATAGCTGACAAGTCCACAGAGAATAGCAAACTTGAAGATGTTTTCCATGAGTCTGTAAGCTCTTTACAAGAAGTTCTAGCATGACGAATAGGAGAGTGTTAAAGTATTATATAAACTGGTGAGCTATAGAGGGTGCCGGATCAAACAGTGCTATAGACTTGAGCATATAATTCTAGTTTTACAAAAACGGAGAATAGAAATGAAGGACTGCTGCTTTAAATGGTTGACTGACAATATGACTTAGTGAAGAAAAATTGTTTCAAATTATTTTGACTATATTTCATTTTGTCTGGACAATGTAATGGTACTTAAGGGAAAAATTTAAGAAATCTTTAGGGGCATTAGTGTCAAGCGATGTCAATTTCTTCCAATTCCAGATCCTGGGTATCAAGATTCTAAGAAGTTCCTAAGAAATGTGCTTACTACTATATTCAATTGTATAAAGAATTAAAAAGAACAAACACTATCCTTAAAAACAAAAATCACAGAGAGGTCCACAAGTTCCACTTAGGACAAGATTGTAACTCTACAGTAACAAAAAGGGTCACAGAACATTTAGATGCATGTAACCTACTAGGAGAAAAAGCCAAAAGGTTCCTCTAAGAATAAACCATGATTTACTAGTTACTATTGCAGCTCATTTAAGGATTAAACATGCATTTACACAAAACTTTATCCATGAATATGATTTAGTCAGACTTTCAAAGGGTCTTTGACAAGGTGATAGAGCAAAGGCTATTAAAATAAAAGTTAAATATCAATATCCAATTATATTTCTTAAATGGTAATTACATTTGACCCATAACTATGAATCATTCAGAAGTATTAAAATCATTCAGAAGTGTTGAAATGGCCTCTTAATGTGCATCACTTATTAATTTTTAAAATGCTCCTTTGGGCGAGAGTGCTGATCAAACGGTGAGGCTGAGTACCAGGAAGCCAGCATTTTTTGCCATTTCTCTTTTGGTCAGTGGGTTCTAGTCATTTTTATTTTCACTCTTTAGAGCTTGAAAATTACCCTATTTTTAGGTACTCGGAGATATTTTAGATTAAAGCATTTACCCGTATGCAAATGATATGGTCACACAGCTGAGTTTAGCATAGCTTTGAAAAATGTAAACTTTTACCCTGGCTAGTGTGGCTCAGTGGCCCATACACCTGAAGGGCTGCAGGTTTGATTCCTGGTGAAGGGCATATTTCAGTTTCATTCCCTGGCCCCCATCAGGGTGCGTGTGGGAGGCAACCAACTGATGTGTCTCTCTCACATGGATGTTTCTCTCTCTCTCTCTCTCTCTCCCCCCTCCATCCCTCCCTTTCACTCTCTCTAAAAATCAATGGAAAAATTATCTTCAAACAAGGATTAACAAAATCAATTAAATAAATAAATCCTATATAATAAAGAGCTAATATGCAAATGGCCATCATGCCCTCACACCATCACGATGCGATGCCCTCATGCTGTCACAATCCATCACCAGGAGGTTGCGTGCTCAGTGGGCGCAAGTGGGTGGGCAGGACTGTGTGCATAGCAAGGCCTGGGAGTCCCGCAGCTCCGTGTGGCATGGAGGCCGGATCCCGGCTCCGGCCTACCTCTTTGGGGCAATCCATCCAGGAGCCCTGGATGGGTGGCGAGGCCTATCTCTTTGGGGTGAGTGATCGCGGGGCTCCTACACTGTGAGAGGGCACAGGCCAGGTTGGGGCACCCCCACCCCACCCCAGAGTGCACGAATTTCATGCACCAGGCCTCTAGTAAATAAGTAAATAAAAATAAAATCTTTAAAAATAGGTGTATATTTATTTTCAGTGATTTACAAGAAAAAAATGGGTGAATACAGGAGCATAGAAATATAGAATTATTTAATTATTAGTTGCACAAGATCAGCTCTTCTATTAAAGTTTACAAAAAAATTGTTTCTCTTATTATCCCCTTTTCCTGCCTTTGGTGTGTGTGTGTGTGTGTGTGTGTGTGTGTGTATGTGTGTGTGTATGTGGTGGCTTTTATCCAGTTTCACCCCTTCCAAGGTTCACACTTCCAGGCATGTGGTAATCTTTCTCCTCTGTGCCTCCTCCAGCCCAATTATTAAGTTTCTAAATAAACAAGACAAAGGAGGTGGGGAGGAGAAAGTGATGTATAAAGTCAATTCCACAATTCCTTTATCTAGATTTACAAGAGAGAGAGGAAGGGAGTAACATAAGGTGATTAAACTGAGATGTTTGAATTATCTACAATTTGTCAGAAATTTTTTTCTTGTTATTTATAAAAGGTAACTATAGGAGAGTCTCTTTTTATCATAAGACATTGAAAACTTTTATTTTACCTGGTACATGATGATTTAATGAGAAAAACAAGTAATTAAGCATTTTTACACTGGTTAGGTTTTTCAAGAGTCATGAACTACCTCATTGTAGTGTTTTACTGAAAACCACAACACATGCAGATTGAGTGTGTGTAGTCTCAGTATTGACTTTTTAGGATCTGGTTTTCATTACTTTCCTCAACTTGAGTTTGTTGTTTTTTTTAATGAGAACATTAGACATTCAATGATCATGTTAAATTAAAATTATTTGGTGCTCATGAAGACACACATTTTGGGGTGTTCATGAATTGGTAGAATTAAAATCGTTAAAATAGCCATAATACCCAAAGCAATCTACAGATTCAATGTAATCTCTATTAAAAATACCAATGGCATATTTCACAGATCTAGAACAAACACTCCAAAATGTGTATGGAACCAAAAAAGACCCCAAATAACTGTAGCATTCTCAAGAAAAAACAAAGTTGGAGGGATCACAATATCAGATATCAAGCTATATTACAAAACAAAAACAAAAAACCCCGACAGCCTGGTACTGGCACAAGAACAGGCATATAGATCAATGGAACAGAATGGAAGCCCCAGAAATTGACCCAAGCCATTATGGTCAATTAATATTTGACAAAGGAGGCAAGAGCATACAATGGAGTCAAGACAGTCTCTTCAATAAATGGTGCTGGGAAAATGGGATAGATACATGCAAAAAAAAAAATTGAAACTAGCCCACCAACTTAAACCATATACAAGATTGAGCTCAAAATGGATATAAGACTTAAATGTAAGTCGTGAAACCATAAAAATCCTAGAAGAAATCACAGGCAGCAAAATCTCAGACATCTCGTGTTACAAATGTTTACAGATACATCTCCTAAGGCAAAGAAAAACCATCAACAAATCAGCAAATGACAAGTGCTGGCGAGGATGTGGAGAAAAGGAAACCCTAGTACATTGCTGATGGGAATGCAGACTGGTATAGCCATTTTGAAAAACAATATGGAGTTTCCTCAAAAAATTAAAAATGAAACTCCCATTTGACCCAGTGATCTCACTTATAGAAATATATTCTAAGAGACCCAAAACACCAATCAGAAAGAATGTATATACCCTTCTGTTGACAGCAGCACAATTTACAATAACTAAGATCTGGAAACAGCCCAAGTGCCCATCAGTAGATGAGTGGATAAAAAAGCTGTAGTACATTTACACAATGGAATACTATGTAGCAGTAAAAAAGAAGGATATCTTACCCTTTGAGACAGCATGAAGGGACCTGGAGAGTATCATGCTAAGCGAAATAAGCCAGTCAGAGAAAGACAAGTATCACATGATCTCACTCATATGTGGAATCTAATGAATAACATAAACTGATGAACAAAAGAGATCCAAAGACATAGAAGCATGAAAGAGACTGTGGAATCTCGGAGGGAAGGTGGGGGTGGGTGGGTAAGAAGAGATCAACCCAAGAATTGGTGTGTATATATGCATAACCCATGGACACAGACAATAGGTTGATAAAGGCCAGGGGCAGGCTAGAAAGGGTCCATGGAGGGGGCAGAAGGAGACACATGTAATACTTTCAACAATAAAGATGTAAAAAAATAAGATGAAAGTTAGATATAAGGGCAGAGGGGGGAGAGGACAGCTATTTAGATTAAAGGTAATATAAGTTGCCCTAACTGGTTTGGCTTAGTGGATAGAGCATCAGCCTGCGGACTTACGGGTCCCAGGTTCGGTTCCGGTCAAGGGCATGTACCTTGGTTGCGGGCACATCCCCAGCAGTGGGTGTGCAGGAGGCAGCTGATCGATGTTTCTCTCATCGATGTTTCTAACTCTTTATCCCTCTCCCTTCCTCTCTGTAAAAAATCAATAAAATATATTTTAA